CGTGCCTCTCTTCCTGCAATAGGAAGGTGGATAGAGTAACCACTTAGCACCTCATGTCTGGTGAGAAATTGCTGGTGGTTAATGAATCAATGCAAAGGATCTTTCAGATACTGTTTTCATTACTGATACCCACCTTTAATTGGTGAGAGCAGAGCTTATGGGATGGGTAGAGGAAGTCATTTCAACACCCTAGGCTGGAGAAGCCTACTCTCTTTGTCCCTCTGCAGGATGTGAGGGTACCTGAGCAGGAGAGAACCCCCTCCAACCCAGACCTTTCCACTCCCCAGGTCTCTGGCAGTGTCTGAGCAAATGCTGTTCATCTGTCTCCAGCCTATTGTCCTTCACAGAGATGCATTTGTCTCAAATCCTTCAATTCTACCACAGCACTCAGTTACAAATGACCCACTTATCCTCATTGGCCTTGGAATTATCCCAGAGCCAACTTTTCATTTTTAAACTAGTTTCTCTTACTGTTTCAAACAAATGCTGAGCACTTTTATAGATCTCTTTTGATTTGTCTGATGGATGCTACTTTTAAAATTCTATTAAATGATTGTAGATAATTCCTGTGACTTCAAAAGCAAGATTATTGTCATCCCAAAGGTCACCCACCAAAGTTTACAAGTGCATTTTCAAACATCAGCTGCAGTGTATTGAAAACCCATGCATTGGACAGTCATTTATTATTGCACAATGAAGAGTCCAGGGAGTAGCCAGGGTTATAAATGCAAATGAGTACCTGGTTCTGCCCTCAAGCAACAGACCACAGGACTGTCACTCCAACCAGTAATCTAACTCTAATTGCTGTTTTGCTCAACATTTTCCCATTTTGTTGTTTTAATTATTGCTAAACTGAGGACCCATAGGCAGTCCTAAAACAGAAGTGTTCTCTTGGCTTGCCTCAACATCTCATTTTTTGGCCACTTTTGGACAGCCCTAGGCTGGAAGCAGGGATGGACATGACTGGCCCTCAACCTTGGGAGATGGGTAGTTAAAGGAACATCTGGAGCAGCTGTGACTGTCGTTCTGATGCTCTCTATCAATCACTAGCCCACCACGAATTCTTGGTGGATTCCTTTGGTCTTCAGCTTTGTCCACCAAACTACAACATTTAAGTTCATTTGTATTCTTTCTCATTTCATCTTCTAATACCCAGAAAGTCAGTAAGAGTGTGTTAACCCCACATTTCAGATGAAAAAACTGAGACCCAGGGATGTTAAGTAAGTCACTTGCCGAAAGGTCACCCAGCCTATAGGTGGGAGCCTGAGACTTTTTGAAATGTTCTTTAGTGTGGTTTGAATCACCCCCAGTGGGCCTCTCAGACAAGCCTTTTATGTTCATGCCATCGGGATGGCCACACCCCAACATTGATTTCATCATGTCCATAGATGATGCTTTGCCCATCTTCATGATATAAACAAAGAGCTTTATTTCCAAAAATAATGTTCACCTCATCTTCAGCTGTACTTTCAATTTAACTTCTCATGTGTTTCTAACTTTGGGCATGGAGCTTCTGAGTTTGCACAAGCAGAAGAGGGAAGCCCCCTTCCTCAATGTCTAAAAGATGGAAAGATGCAGAAGGCCTTTTAAGGGCATTATTTACATAACAAAATCAGATGGAAAAAAATATGAGACACTATTTTCCTGAAAGGTCAGATCTGGATTGACTTGTTAACAACCAGAAACCTGAACTCAAATGTTACCTGCTAACAGTCTTTCCCAGCAAAAGAGCAAGTAGCCTCCAGGCTTCAGATTGAAAAAGAACACTATCTAGGAGCTAGAACAAAGGTTAAGAAACAGTGGATATGTTTGAAAATTTTGCAGTTTTCCCCATGAAACAAATTAATTGTCCTGGCCTTGTTTCTGTGCACAAGTCTCATTCTACTCACTGCACAATGGAAGCCATTATGGTAGAGGAAGAACCTTAGCACAATGAGTTACCTGGTGGGAAGATGGAGGGCCATCTTTAAAGGGCTGTCTTGCCAAGAGGCTGAGTTACAGGTGGTTCATACAGGAGAGTGGTGATTGCAGACTGGTGGGTGCCTTCTCACAGGTGGAGGTGTGTGGCCATATGACAGACATCTGATCCTATTCACCTCCTTATTGGAGATGCCTTTTGGTTCTGCAAATCTCAACAACAAAGACAAGAATTTCCTTGGGCTACTCTTGTAGTTTGCCCAGGTGCCATTCCTCACATATTACACGACAGGTCACAGGGGCCCTGTGATGAGAGAAAACATTCACCTGATTATTGTGGAAGATGGGGGAGGGAGATGTCAAAGAGGGAGTCAGGACAAGGTCTGGTCTCAGTGCTCATGCCTCTCATATTCCTCCAAAACTGAGGGAACAGTTTAAATTTTACAATGTCACCATGCTAGATAGCGTTAGCTTTCTATAATGCACTCTGCCCAGTGTGACTGCCTGATAGGACTCCACCAAGTACCCACAACCATGGCATGTAAAGTTTTACTTACCACCCACCATTAGTGGGGTCTAGCTGGTGTTATACCCCACAGAAATCAAGTCAGTGAGGAAAATTAAACTCATTTTATTCACAGTGTATACTTTTGTGTAATTACATGTAGGTAGTTAAAAATGGTTTTCAATAGAATCCTATATATATATAAGCAGAATTGAAGGAAAATCAGTTGCTATTTTAACTTATCAGAAAGGAAATGCAAAGTTTAGAAGAAATTTTTAATACCATATTTTCTTGGTGAGTAGGTATTAAAACAGAGTTGAATGCAAGACACCCCACCGTTTGGGGGGCTCAATACATAAAAGGTGTGAATTATATCCAAATTTCCCTGCTGTTTTTTTTGCTTCTCAGTTTCTACTCCTTAAAAGCTCATAAAGATAAATCTGGAAATATTTGAAAAGTGTCACATTTGAAAATTACTCAGTATCTTAGCACCTTACACACTCCTTAGGGGAAATTGACTTGACTGCCCTTCCTCACCAAGGATCTTCATTTAATCACAGACTCTTATCTCAAAGAGATATTTGCTTCTCCTGCTTGGTCCTACCTTAAGTCACCATCCTTTGTCACAGGACAGTCATAGCCACACCAATCAAATGTGATGTCACAACTGAGGGAACGAGGATCCTTGAGAGAGAAAAGAGAGCAATCTCCAAGCTAAGCTTTTTGGGTTTTTAAAACCACCACCTCCATAATCAAACTATTTTAGTCGGTGGGGTTGGGGGAACAGGACAAAGCTGTATTTCCTCAAGGTCTTGGCTGTGACCTTCAAAGTATTTCAGTAGAATTTAAGGGTTACATGTTGTATGTGGGCTTGGGAAGGGTTACAGATTTTTATTTGCTTTCATTCTAGTTCTGTGCCACTAATACCTGCCAGTAAAATACATTAAACATATTCCAGAAAGAGTTGATTTAGTAGATGAAAAATGTGTCTCCTGAGACGAGAGGAGGTACATTTTCTGTCATGCTACGTTTCCATAATAGGAACAGTGTTTACGCTCCCCCAGCCCAGCAGAGTCTCTAATGTACGCATGTTCTCTCACTCTTCAGAGGCGGCAATGGAGGTATTTGAGCTTTTATTTTTTTGAGCTATCCGCATCAAGCACTTAAGATCTGACAATTGTGATGTGTATTCCCACTTGGTATTAAAAAATAAAAGCCTGAGTGTTTGCATTTGATTAGAGTCACTCCGCTTGGTGGCTGATTAAACAGGAACAGGAAAGCAACTTCAGAAACAGAAAAGCTGCATCTTGGTTAATGTAGTGTAAGATTATAGATGGGGTATAGTCATAATTTTTATTAAATTGAAGAGATTAGCTCTGCTGAAGAACCTCACAGTGACAGCCAACTCTTGAGCATGATAATGGGACCTGACACTTCTCAAACCTACTAACAGGGCCCCAAATGGTCTTTGATTCTAAATATCCTTTCAGTTCCAGAAGGAGAGATATTCAAAGATTAAGCATATTTACCTGTAGTTGAGTGTGGTTTTTCTTTTTTGATGCGAAATAAGCATAAATACTGTCATCGGTGAGCCTGAGCTATTTTCTTTCACTGTAAATGACACACGCCCTCTATTCTGCAGTTTGCTCAAAAAGCAAACACTTTTCTCCAGACAAGGGCCCTGATGGCACAAGAAAGACCCTGACTGGGAGCCTGGATTGTTGTGTGATTTGTTTATTTAACATGCATAAAATTGTTGCCTCTCTTCCAGTTTCAAAATATCTCAGTTATCCTAATTCTTTGGGGGGAAGATGGAAAACAGATGAAGAGGGAAAGAGAGATAAAATTTGAAAGCCCAAACCTGCAGCAGTATTCCATAGAGTGGAGCAAGTATTAGGGAGAGTGCAGAACAGAACACAAAGACAGCAACAAATGAGGTGGATTTGCACACATCCCAGGGAAGGCAGGGATGAGTGGGTGGTGGGGGTTGGGGAGGCTTAATTAGTTAATGTTTGCCAAGCTGAGCCCTGAAGACAAGCTATACAGAGGTGCCATTGTCACTTATTACTGTTATTAATTAACAGGGTGAATGCCAAGTGACAATAATAAGCCTCACTGTGCGTTCATTTTTTTTTTTATATTGTTGTGCTGGGTGAGGGTACATTGTGGGATTTACAAAAGTTTTTACAATATTTCATAGTTGAATCCACCCCCTCCATCATTCTCCTTTGCACCCCTCCTCCCATTCCTGGAATAGTTTCAACAGGTATCATTTTTGCATTTTCATACATGTGTACACATTTTTGTACCTTATTCACCCTCCTACCCCCTTTCCCCACCTCCTCTCCCCCTCTCACTGGTACCAACCCCGCCTGGACAGGATGTGTTCACCCGTCCTGTTTTCAGATTTTGTAGAGTAAAAGGAAAAAAAATGACTTTTTTGCTTGTTTGAGATAAAGATAGCTCCACAGGGAGCTTCCTTGTGATATTTCCATGTATGTATGTATTATAACCCAAATTGGTTCATCCCTCGATTTTTCTTCATTTCTTAACACTGTGTGTGATTACCTGTTTGCAGGAGTGATCCGGGAAAGTTACCTCAAAGGCCACGACCAACTGGTTCCTGTCACACTCCTGGCCATTGCTGTCATCCTGGCTTTTGTCATGGGGGCCGTCTTCTCGGGCATCGTGGTGTACTGCGTCTGTGACCACCGGCGCAAGGACGTGGCTGGGGTGCAGCGCAAGGAGAAGGAGCTGGCACACTCGCGCCGGGGCTCTATGAGCAGTGTCACCAAGCTCAGTGGCCTCTTTGGGGACAGCCAGTCTAAAGAACCGAAGCCAGAGGCCATCCTCACCCCGCTCATGCACAACGGCAAGCTCGCCACGCCAGGCAGCACGGCCAAAATGCTCATCAAGGCAGAGCAGCACCACCTGGACCTGGCAGCTTTGCCCACACCCGAGTCCACCCCGACCCTGCAGCAGAAGCGCAAACCGGCCCGTGGCAGCCGCGAGTGGGAGAGGAACCAGAACCTCATCAATGCTTGTGCCAAGGACATGCCACCCATGGGCTCCCCAGTGATCCCCACCGACCTGCCCCTGCGCGCATCCCCAAGCCACATCCCCAGCGTGGTGGTGCTGCCCATCACGCAACAGGGCTACCCGCACGAGTATGTGGAGCAGCCCAAGATGAGCGAGGTGGCCCAGATGGCCCTGGATGAGCAGGCAGCCACCCTGGAGTATAAAACCATCAAGGAGCATCTGAGCAGCAAGAGCCCCAACCACGGAGTAAACCTGGTGGAGAACCTGGACAGCCTGCCCCCTAAAGTCCCGCAGCGCGAGGCCTCCCTGGGTCCCCCCGGGACCTCGCTGTCCCAGAAGCGGCTGGAAGTGCACCACACCTCCTCCTACGGCCTTGACTATAAGAGGAGCTACCCTACGAACTCGCTCACCAGGAGCCACCAGGCCACCACCCTCAAAAGAAACAATACTAACTCGTCCAATTCCTCCCACCTCACCAGAAACCAGAGCTTTGGCCGGGGGGACAACCCGCCCCCCGCCCCACAGAGGGTGGACTCGATCCAGGTGCACAGCCCGCAGCCCTCAGGCCAGGCGGGGACTGTCTCCAGGCAGCCCAGCCTCAACGCCTACAGTTCACTGACCAGGTCCGGGCTGAAGCGAACCCCCTCGCTTAAGCCCGACGTGCCCCCCAAGCCTTCCTTTGCCCCCCTCTCCACATCCATGAAGCCCAATGACGCGTGTACATAATCCCGGGGGAGGGGGCGACCAGTGAATCAGCAGGCAAGGCCAGGCGCCCACAGCGCACCAAGCTTTCCAACTGCTCGAGTGTGCACCTGACCAAGATGGCCCGTGGCAGAGCTGAGGACACTGGGTCCTCCTCTCTGGGACACAGGGGTACTCTGGAAAATGGGGCCACGTGGTTTGGTGAAGGTTTTGCAACCGCGGGGCTCACCTCTCCCAACACACTACAGCAGGTCGGACCCCCAAAAAACTTCAGTATCATCACAAACATGAGCCAAAAGCACATCCCCACCCCATCTTCTCATGCACACAGACACATGCACACACACACACACACACATATGCACATGACACACACATGCACACAACACACCCACCCATACCCACAACCCTCGCAGAAGTGAACTGCAGCCTTTTGTCCATGACTGCACAGGGGCGTTGCCAAACTTGGGCTAGCGTTCCAAACTGCAAAACACAGATACACTTTTAAAAATCATGAAAATTTCAAAAAGACAAAAAAAGAATTCATTGACAATTCTAACTGAGACTTTTAACAATGGCAGAAGTTTACTATGCGCAGATACTGTGAAACGCCCACCAGTGTTACATACAGCTTTCTGTTCTAGCAGATAAATAAATCCCACGTGGGGCCACTGTGTCATAGGTTTCTGCCCCTCTCTTTTAATGAAATAACGCGACCGTTAACGCAAGTAACTCTATTTATTGTTCACCCTCTTTTTCCTTAAGGAAAGAACTCTTCCATGCATCCTCCTATGAACAGCTCTTCTGAAACCCATTGAAAGTTAAACTATTTAACGTGAAATCCATTAACTGGAATAATTGAGTTTCTTTATTTTTACAATAAATTCACTGAGTAAGTAAGATGGAGCTGGAATTCTGAGCTTTCTGTTTGGACTGTCTGGTCGGTAGCTAACGGAAACTGTTAAGAGGGGGATATTTATTTAAATCAACCAGTTAATTTGTTGATCAGGTCTCTGGTCTCTAACATGCAAAAAAAATTAATGTTTAAAAGTCCTTCCAGATCCTAACTTCTAAAGCAACCAGGAGAGAAGCTTCTAGAATGGCACGTTGTGTCCCTCTGCCTCCAACATGGCTTTGTCAGTGGTTCCTACTTTCTGTGAAGGCACCAACTTTCAATACCCCCATCTCATTTCACCTTGCATGTGAGACAGCAAGCCAAATCCACAAACGGTGTGAACTAATTAATATGCTGGCTGCTACCTTGCATAAATTAATGGTTTGCTCACACGGGTTCTTCGTGGGGTTACATCTGTGAATAGCCTGTTTTCCACACTGTAAATTTGTGCCTTACACCCTGAGTTGTGTACACTTGTAAACTGTCATTATGATCATTTCCCCCTTTTCTTTTTGAAATAAATATTTATTTAATCCTCCCTCCCCCCTCCTCCACCCTCTCTCCATCCCTCTGGAAGATTGAGTCAAGCAGATGGAAGAAGAATACAGGACGGTGATTGTAATGCCACAGCCTGGGAGCACCGGGTGGTACCACATCCTCCAATTCTCACTGCCTTCTAGCTGTGCCAACTCAAACCACCCTTTGGCTGTGCTGCCAAACATGGACCCCAGTGTTGTGGGTGACAAATCCCCTTCCTCCAGAGCTCCCTTCTTCCCTTGAATTCCCACATCATTTCAATATGGTGATGTTCTCATTAGCCAGCAAGAAAGAGGCTAATGTCCCACCTCTCATCTCTGCTGTGCCCACAGGCTGGCGAACACACTCTGTGGTTGGGCAGGCACCTGCAAGGAGTCTCCAAGCCGGGCTGGGCGCTCAGCACACCCATGCAATGCACACAGAAACAACATGAAAATAAATGCAGACAGGCTGGTCCCTGCCATGATGAATGAGTAACTCCAAGTACAAGACCAAGCACAAAGGATGATGCAAAAACGCTGACTGGGGCAGAAGCTTTTCCATTTTTTTTTAATTTTCTTTATCCTTTTGTTGTTTGTAGGGAAGGGGTTGTGTGGTGTGTTTCTCTCCCCTTAGTTTTCATTTACCGGAGTACACAGAAGGAACCTTCGTTTACTTTCTCATGAACAAAAGAATTGTCAACATACTGTAAAACAAGAGCATTGTTTTTAGTGTTTTATTTTAAACAGTTAAACAGTGTATTTGGTGGTCTCTGTCTTCTTTTTATTCCCAATTGGATCTTTTGGGTTTAGTTTTGTCTTTAAAAATAAAATAAAAAAAGAAAAGCTTTCAGCAAAAGACTGACAAGGACAGTTTTGAGTTGGTTAGTGGCAAAGTGGTGATTCCCCATCAGAGCGGTCACCTTGAGCCCTGAATGTGCACCTGACAGCAAATGCACACACAGCCATTTGTTCCAAGAGTCCCTTGCAGATTGGCTGATGTTTGGGTTAGGTGGTAGTTGTTTTGTTGTTTTGTTTTTTTTAGTGGGTCAATATTCATGTTCTGTGAACTCTGTACCCTAAAACCATAGTCTTTTCTCGAAACAGATACTATTTCCCCTGCCTTTTCTTTACTAATGCAGATGTTAGGAAGGAATGGGTATCTCCCTGTTACCTTCTCCCCAAGCTTGACTTCCAAGAGTATTGACGTGTGGCACACACCCACGCACTTGAGTACACCCTGGTGCCCATGTTTGTGGGCCTCATCGCCTCAGTTGTGTTAAGGAGACCTGTCTCAAAACCCACATCCCATCATCCCACAACCCATTACTTGTGGTGTTAACTCTCCCATGCCCACATGTATTGGCCTGGTCTTCTACATTGAAGTGTTTCCCTTTTTTTTCTCACCATGTGTCGGGGGAGGGCCCATAACCCAAGTGTGCCTTTTGCTTTGCACCCTTGCTAGACGCTGTAGATGCAACAAATCCAGATTTATATTTGTTGTAAAGTTGTAAAACGATTGTGATGTCACCAATTTTCCTTCAGTCTCCACATCCCCTAACATCTGATTCACAACTTAATGTATGTTGTAAAAAGAGAGAGAGAGAGAAAAGAAAAGGAAAATAAGAAAAGAAGCAAGGAAAAGGCTCTTTATTACTTAAAAGTAATAAAACCGGACTGTTCTACGTTATCTTTTGTGTCCTGAATTCTTAATTTTTTTCTTGTAGTCACTTTACTCACTGATGCTCTTTCAGGGTACTATTCTTTTAGGATGCCATCTCTATCTCTAACTGGTTTCCCAAGCATCAATAACTATGTAGTTAGACACATTTATTTGCAATATATTCACTCTGCCCCACCCACCCATCCACCCACACACACACACACACACACACACACACACACACGTGCGCACACACACCCAACTTAGCCGTGGGTTTTCTCTGTCTGCACCCAGCCTGGAGCAGGATTTTAGCAGAAGCCACCAGTAATTAAAAAGCAGAGCACGCGTTTACTCCCTCTATTCATTTTATGCCTTTTCTTTTTATGGGCTTGTTCATCATCAAACATTTATGGTAGGCTTGATAGTTTAAGAGATCAAAGCTAGGATTTGAATATGTAGGGTCCACTAAAAATAGATCCTTGCACAGATGTGACTTCAGCCTTTTTACATATTAATAAGGCAAAGGGTGCTGGATTTCACTCCTTTTTAGCATTTCTTCCTGTAACTCTCAGAAGACACGGTTGAAGTTATATTGGGATACAGCATTTGATTTTTATTTTGCAAAATAGCAGTATGAAATGTCTAGAACAGGTTTTCCCCTGTGGGGCATTTTTTTTTAAGTCATTTAAGTAAGTCTCAGCTAAGGTATTTTACTCCTGACCTTCTGAAGTAGTTTTTCTTAATGTTTTAGGTCAGTTCAAGTGTGAGAAGCTGCAGACAGAGGCCTCAGTTCACACCTAGAGTGATCTCTTGGGCAGATCCAGTCATTTTTCCAGTTGTGTTTCTTCTCTCTTTCTCTCTCTCTCTGTCTCTCTCTCTCATTTTTATTAGCATATATTCCTTGTAACAGGGGGTATTTGTTGTGAAAATTCTGAATAGTCTTACACTGTACATTGGTATGACATGTGTGTTGCCAAGCACTGCTAGGCACAGAATTGGCTAAGCCTCCTTATTTGCAGAGAGAGTAACAGCGCCCCTGCCTGTAGTTACCATTCAGAGTTAAGAATCAAGTCTAAGGAAAGCTCCCCGGAGCTTAGGGTCATGTGGCTCTTACAGAGTAGGTTCTCTGGCCAGCTAGCCCAGGACTCTGTTGCACTGAGTGTGCTGATTGGGGAATGAAAGTTTTGGCAGGCCTTGAACATGGGCTGTGAGAGAACCTGGTAGGGTAGGATAGTGACTGGAGTCTGGGGATGGACCAGGAAGGGTCAAGTTCCTGTGTGCTAGGATTTTAGCTGCTCTGCTGGAGTGTGTAAAGCTTCAAAAAGCTATCTGGCAGTAATGTAGAAAATGGGTTGGTCTAGACAGAGACTGCAGGCCAGCCAGCAGTGTGCCCAATGTCATGCCAAGGTGGTAGGGGCCACCCAAGTGGAACCCCCTCATCCAATTTCTGACTCTAGGAATCAACTCTGGGATTGTCCCATCTCCTACCAGACAAAATAGCTTTCTTCCCCTAGTGTGACTGACAGTTTTGCCCTGCCCACTTGTACCCAAATGTCCTACCATAGAATTCAGAGGATGGTCAACATCTGGTCTGACAAAGTCTTTCATTTTAAAAGTTGGAGGCCCACTGAGTGAAGGATCTGCTCATCCTCCATCCCAAAGCTGGTAGGGAGCAGCTAAGCAGAAGACAAATTCGTTGCCTCTTACCCCATCCACTCAGATCATTAGAACAACACTTGCTAGAAAGACTTGCCACCCCAGACCCAGACAGCATCTCTTTCTCAGTCATCATTTCTCACAGAAAGTCCCCTCCATACATCCCACCCTTCCTCAACTAGGCATGCCAGAGCCCTTCATCTAGGAAAGGCTCAGATCCCCCTGGCTTGAAGTAAATGATGCCAGCAACTGCAACCTGATACTTGTCTGGTGGCTTTTGCTGCAGTCAGCTTTGTTCTGGTCTGGTGAAGAGGTGACAGAAGCTGAACAGGTGTAGCCAGTATTTTAGCCAGGGCCCCAGGGATGCCCCTGCTCAGACAAGAAAAAGTGCCTCAGACAACCCAGGTTTTTAATTGTTTTGTTTGCTTGCTTGCAACGCTGGTTAACAGGGCTGGAGGTTTCTGCCGTGTGGCTTTAGGCTGTTGTCCCCAAAGAGTGGTTGTCCTCATACAGATGACCAGCTCTGTGTTTCATGGATCCAAAGCTGACATCTTGAACCTGACTGCTCCTTATTCAGCCAAACAAGATACCCCACACCCACAGTGCCTAGGTTTTACTGCCTGAACAAAGGCTCTTTCAAAACAAGTCATTTGACAAGGGAAAGTTTCAGAAAGGCACCTCAAGTTTCAGACACTGGTACATTTTGCTGGAGGGAAGTGGGTAAGGAGAATTTAAAAGAGCCCTGTGGTCACAAAATGGCATGAGTAAGAGCATAATCCTTATCCTGGCTCAGCACTGTGACAGCTGGGTGTTTGGAGGCAGTTACCCTTAGAAACCCACATCTCACACTTCTCTTAAAACCTGGTGGTGACGCATCCCTCTTGCAAAGGGGGTGGAAAGGCTCACACTTATTGATCGGATCTGCCAGACAGATGGGGATCTTCAGTATTCCATTTGGAGTATTGTGTGTCCTTAGCTCTAACCCCCTGGGATGCCTGGAGATGGGGAGCAGTTGACCTCAGAGTGTTAGTGCTGACTGATGTGCATTAAATGTGACTGGACAGAAGACTGCAGATGCCCCTCTAGTAAATGGAATTGAAATTTGAGCAAATCAAAGGAGGCAGCAGAGTGGCGGGGGTTCCCATTCCCCTCTGCAAATATTTCCATGCATACATTTACACACACAAATGCTGTCACAGGGCTCTTTTCTCTTGGTGCCTCATACCAAAAATGTCACAGAGGTCAGAACCCAAGTCTGCTGATAGTGGTCTCTTTGGAAATGCTTTAACTCCGTTTTCAGGTAAAACCTGGGTTCTGCCTCACCATTTTCTGGTTAAAGGGGAATTGTGAAGAATTTTGGTTTCAAAAATGGGAACTAAGATGTTGCAGAAGAGTGTGAATCCAGGTCCCTTACAGCCAGTTGACACTGACTGAGGTGGCTAACGACTTCTTCATTTCCCTTAATCACCTTCAGATAGAAGACTCTCTTGAGAATCATTAGCATCATCCCCAGAGCAAGTCGTCACCCTGCTAACGGGCTGCAGTAATGGCCCAAATAAGGGGAGCTAATGAAAGGGAAAAGTAAACCATGAACTCAGAAGCCTTTTTCTTTGGTGGTTTTCAGTGAAGAAACACATGAAGGTGACATTGGACATAATACCAAATGCCAGGATACCAACAGGAAAGGAAGTAGGCAGGACTCCTAGGGACTTTGAGGATGAGAAAAAGGATGGAGAGTATGAGAACCAGTTAGTTGCT